AGTTAAGTTAAAATATAAGTTAATTACTTTCTCTTTCTCTTTCTCTTTCTCTTTCTCTTTCTCTTTCTCTTTCTCTTTCTCTTTCTCTTTCTCTTTCTCTTTCTCTTTCTCTTTCTCTTTCTTTTCTCTTCTCTTATAATTAAATTATAAGAAAAAGAGAGAGAAAGGTATAAGTTATTACCCACTTATATATTTATATATAAACTTATACTTAATTATAAAACTTATAAGTAACCTTTACTTCTCTTTTCTCTCTCTCTCTTTTCTCTCTCTCTTCTCTCTCTTAACTCTTCCTAAGCTCTTACTCTTAAGCCTTAAGTTAAGTACCCCTTACCCTTAAAAAAAAAAAAAAAATTTTTTTTTATTACTTACCTAATTAAGTAAACTTATATAGCTAATAGCTAGCGCGCCTTAATAGCTAGCGTAGTAGCCTAAGCGCCCGCCTCTACGGCACCATAGTAGAACCCCGCTCACCGCCTGGAATCCCGCGCTAACTACCGCGAACCTCGTGGTTAGGGTGCTTACTAGATAACTGTGTAATATATATAAATATATATTATGCCAAACTCATATGTTTGCCTTGGACTTGGCCTACAACAAAGCGTTGGGGGCTGTTCGAAGGTTAAAGGCCTGATAGCGCATCTAGTTAATGCCCATTTTAATCCACGACACGAGTTGGACAAATTATACATCGTCATGGGCGCTGTTGGTTGGTTCGCATTGAATACCCTGGTTAGTGAAATATGCGATCCGGGTGATGGGATCCTAATCGCTGCACCCTACTGGTCAGTTCTCAATCTTTGTATTTCGGTCCACAATGACGCTGTGCCTGTCATAGTTCAGATACCATTTGACGACTTCTTTAATATACGGAGCATCAAGTACTACGAGGCAGCATTGGCGGTCTCAGCGATTCTGGTAAAAGGTGTAATAATTTGCAATCTAAATAATCTTCTTAGCCCCAATTATCCGCACGAAAACTGCGGGCCACTTTGAATTTTTGTGCCAAAAATAACATTCATTTGATATCCGATGAGGTCTATGCCCTTTCTTAGCACACGCGGTCGACTCGGGGCAATTTAACTGCCGGGTTTGTCTTAGCGCTTTCACTGGATACAGCTCACGCTAGAGGCCTGGTTCATGTTTTGTACAGTCTGAGTAAAGACTTTGGATGTAATGGCGTTCGTCTAGTAACTTATCCGAGTCTGCTATTAGTCATATTCTAAATTTTGATTAGGGCGCCTTCATCTACCAAGAAAACTGTGATATCATCACGAGCGGCGCGCTGAGTACTCACTGTCAGACATCAACCATGGCAATAAATGTAGCACAAAAGGTTATCCTAATCCAACACATTCATAGCATACGTAGATACTCATTGTAGAGAGCTTTTGGAATCGGCGTATTCGCCGGTGGCTACGTTCATGCAAAATCATGGAATAAATTCATACTAGCAGAGAGTAGTATGTGCATCTTCGCCAGGTTGTGTCCTTCGCCGTCCATGAAGGCAGGAAAAGTGTTCAGATTAATCCTGAAGAAGAATGCGTTGGTCATCTCGGCGGGCACAAATTATCATCTTGAAACACCTGGTTGGTTCCGCATTTATCACGTTTGTGAGAGGGAAAAGTTCGAGAATGGCCTCGATTGATTTGCGATTTGTGTTAATGAGTTTCGATAAACACATGTTGAAGAGAGCAAAACATAATGACAGACTCAAGAGAAGAAGAAATTTGTATTTTTTATTCAATAGCTATGCAGAGATCCTTCAGAAACTGTGACAATGTTTTACCAGTAAATATGTGCTCGAAGTACTCCACCTCTAAAATGACATGATCCTTACTTTCATTGAATTTTATTAAGAGGGAAAATTTGGCTCCCTGAGCTCTCATGGACTCCGCTTCGATTGAGACGCCTGGGACTTGCATATTCCGGGTCACTCGGGCCGGTTACATACCATCATGATGTCGAAGAGTAAGCCTCTTCCGACTAGCTGCATGATCTGGAATGACGGAATGGCATGAGAAATTGCAGACTTTAAGGCGCTTTTTATACTATATACCAGCCTTCGTATGGGTATAGTTGTCTATTTTGACGCGCACAGGGAGCGCATCCAAGAATACACCCAGCAATCGCTCAGACCCTGGCTTAAGTCGATCGAGGAATGGTATGCCCACGCAAAACTCATCCATGTCGAGAGAGTTTCGCAGATCCATAACATTTGTCGCTAAATAGACCTCAATCGAGCGACCCGAGCTGTTGCGTTTCAGGCGCCTGGGAATCGAGTGAGCCACCCCTATTTGGCACTTTTGTGATTGCATCATGTTCGTGATATCACGCCTGCAATCCCTAAATTGGAACTGCTAAAATGCATAATTGGCTCTTCCAGGCTGTGTTTTGAGCTGCACTTCTCTCCACGATGCTTAAGTATTATTTTGAATAAGACGACCTTTGGAAACGCTCCAGTTGTCGACTTCTCCATTGTTGACCAAGATGCGATACACGTCGCCTACCTGAGCCAAGAGTACTTGCGTAGACACTTGGTCGGTAATGATATGATGCTGGGCGAGAATGACTTCTATAGAGTTCGACTTATTTGTGAGCGATGCCTAGACAAGAGGGCCGCTCAGAGCGAAAGGCTTGCTAATGTATTCATCCATTGTTACCTGATGCGACACATGGAGAAGGTACAACTTATACTCTTTCCTGTTAGTAACCCGCTGCGATATGCCTCCGAGTTCTCTATAGGTTGCATCAAAAATATCATGTTTCGCGACAACACTCCGGAAAGCGCGACTCAAGAGAACCGAATCAATGTTGCCGCAAAACGAAATCTTATGAGCAACATTAAAAGCAGACTTGTTCGCAGACTGCTTATGCAGTCTCAGAAAGTCTATTTCTAGGTATGATAAGATCGAGTTACATGAGCTCGATTGACTCGGAAACTCCCCTAAAGAGATAAAGCCAGTATCCGTTTGTACGCTCTGAGCGAAATAATCTCGAATCGCCGAGGTGAGGGAGCTTATGCGAGTATTCGGAATAGAAATGGTCAATGGTCTGCTTAGTCTCGTCCTTGATCACACTTTTTGCGCTGCGCTAATCTGCCGTAAGGAGTTTCCGCTGATGTTGAGGAAATCATCATCGACTGATAGGGCAAAGCCTTGGTTAAGATCCAGAACATCCCGCCAGACTTCGGATATGATCTGCTCCATTCGTCATGTATCGTAACCCCTATGGAAACCACGGGCTCTATTGCTCTATTGACCGCATGAGCGCCTTGCGATCGAAGTTTTGATTCGGCGTGCTCGGAAACGATGTGGTTATGAGCTGCGGAGCGGCATAACTTGGCAGTTTTCGACGCAAGGAGTTATTGATCTCCGCTATATCTTTGTTTTCCGGTGTTATGAAGGCACAGATTGTGTTTTGGGACACAGTCTCTACTGACTGGGTTACTGTACCGCTTGATCGTCGTAATGCGTTTTCGATCTCTTGCAATTCCACTCGATATCCTCGAACCTTCACCTGATGATCAACTCGGCCGATGAAGCGCAACTCCATATCCTCGGTCTAATAACCTAAATCCCAATTCTATACATGCGCTGGCCGTAGTTGAACGGATCTTGAACAAAGGCTCTCTTGGTCATCTCTTCAACAGCTTTGCCACTGTACCCCTCCATGACTTGCAAACCATAGACGCAGATCTCCCCAATGACACCGATGGGCACTTGTCGAGAAAGGCGATCAAGTATACGAGCACCAACCCGGGAAATTGTTCTACCAAGTGTCACTGGCCATCCGGGCCCGAGCTTGGTGTATGAAGCAGCGATTGTGCATTCAGACGGCCCGAAAAACTTGTAGAGAGTTCTTCCAGTTGACAGTCTGTCGGCGAGATTCTGGGGAACAGCTTCTCCTATCAAGTATATTGTATCAGGATTCTGAAGGCCTTTCGACGAGAGTACTGAGAGAAACGAAGGCGTAATCATCGTGGCATGGACCCAGACGTGAATATGACGTAAGCGTCGGACTATTGCCTTTTTCTCTCGTATTCAGACGTCCATAAAGCAGATATTTCGCCTTAGAAAGGCCGGAAAAGGCAGCAAGGCACTCTTCACTAGGATAGATACACAACACTTTACCGGCTGTTTCCATCGTAGCCTCCATCCATTGTGGTGGAGGTAGCTTGGTATCGAGAGGCAAATAGGTTCCGTCAGCTTTGATGATTGACGAGACTCCAAGAAGCCAGTTCTCGCTGCCATCACCCATAAGAGCTACCACCTCTCGGGGGCGGACAATCTCTGCTATGGACCTTGCCAAGTAATTTGACGTAAGATCCAACTCTCTGTAGGACATCTCGCGCAGCAATGACTTGATCGCGATCGACTGTGGCCAAGTAAATAAAAAGTATTATTTCACGAGTGAGCACGCAAAAGCCTTACGGTCGAAGGCTACCGAAAACAGCAGCGACCTGGTGTCTGATGGTAACCCGCAACAATCTCGGTAGCTAGAGCACCATTACCTTACTCAGAGCCGTGTCTTGACGGGCTATGTGAAGCGTATGTTAACATTTCCCGGGGGCAGAGGAAAAGAACACCAGCAGACGCGCCTCATTGCTCATAACCTTTGCAGTACAAAAAAAATGAAAGCTGAGTCGGATGTCAGCATTCGTCGCGCGACACTAAATTTAGCGACGACAGCACATGGCCTTGCCCAAGAGCTCTTAGTTTGAGTCGCTGTTGTCTATAGGGTAGTCGACCGGCTGGACTGTCAGCGTTGCACCAACCAACCGGTCAACCAGCCAACCAACAGCCTCATCATTTCACACCGAAATGCAGTTCAGTAGGCCCCTATTTGTCCCGTGACTGCTGGCTGGAAAGAGTACGCATATCATGTAATCATTACGTTGGGCGTTTCCTTCATCTTGCTATTGCTGCCTAACAATCCACGCTTCTCTCTAACTCCGACATTGGCACTATCACAACCACTGTTTTAGTTTCGCCGCTCCTATGGATGACAAGAACCCGCAAAAGCTAGCTAAAAATACATCCCCACCAAAGGAGCTGAGTGATGATAGCATTCAGGAGCTGTTTGCACTTATGGGCAAGTATTCTTCTAGCGAAAAGTTCAAGAAGCTGAAGAGACTCGACCAAGATAATGAGGAACTAAGACAAGAAGTTATTGATCTTCGCACCACGAACGACAAGAACTTGGACGATTTTATAAGGCGACGGGATAAATGGAAGACTGAGAAGGAGGGCCTGACGGCTCAGCTAAAGGAAAAAGAGGACCAACAAAATCAAGAGCTCCTGAGCAGAAAAGCAGCTGAAAAAGCGCTGGAAACCGAGCGTACTGCTAAGAAGACATTGTGTGAGCAGGTGAAAGAACAGGAGGCGGCGATTCTACGACTAGTCGACAAAGCAAAGACAAACGAAGCAGAAATCACTCGACTTGGCACCGTAAGCAAAGAGCAAAACGACGCTCTTGAGCGGGCGGGAAAGGCTAAGATAAGGCTCCAAGGAGAAGTCCAGACAATACATAATCAGCTTGAGGCCAGGACCAAAGAGCTGTCAGACGCAATGGAGTCTCTCACAAGATTCCAAGCCTTCCTGGTCCTTTTAAGTCCTCTGGAGGAGAAGAAATCCCAAATGTTTGTGTTATAACCATCCCCTCTCTTTTCGGGTAGGTACTTTATTAATAGCACCTTGGAGTACTAACACGCTTCGCGTAGTCGCGAGGCCCTCGAAGACATGTTCAACGGTGCCTGGTACCTCTTCCAGCAGACATTGGGTCAAGATATCGAAGCTAATGTCCTTGCGAGGACTAACTCGCAAGCATTTGCTTTGAATCCACCTGCCCTGCCACTCCCAGCATCCAATACAAATACCGCCAAGGGAATGAGAGTTGTAGCAGGCCTGATAGCATATGCCAATGCACTTACTACCCACGTTTTCAGGCAGACACATATCACTCAAAGTCGCGAGCTCGATGGGGTATTACGTCTTACGGCGGATCAGAACCCTCAGCAAGCTGCTTGTATCCGTGCTGTTCTTCTCAAAGCGTTGCCGGAAAGACATAAAAAGAATCGGGATGAATGCGTTGACAAAGCTGTCAAAGAGGTATCAGACGCAGTTGGCCACTGGCTTCAAAATAAACAACCATTTGAATCAGGGCTCAAACATGTTTGTGAAAAAGCCTCCGCTACTTGGGCACTGATCCAGCTTGTGGAGGAAAGAATCCAGCCCGACTTTCATTTTGAGGTGCCCGACGAATGGCAAGCTCTCCCTTTACTAAGCTCCAAGTCTACATCTACCTCTCCCCCCCAAGCTGGCCCGGCCAGGCAAACGCCGCAGCATCAGAAAAGCATGGAAAACCGTCACGCGAATATGCTCAGAGACAGCCCCATGCTAAGCACACTGAGCATTAATGACGTGGCTAGAGTTGTATGGCCGACTTTTCTTGCCGCTTATCCTCAGGGACCAGACGAGACGAGCTCGGCATCGTTGGAGTTGGTTTATCATGGGTATGTCTTGACACAGCCGCAAATAAAAAGCGCTGAAGACGAAATTTCCGAGACTTCCCAAAGGGCTGTACCAAGGTCAACATCTGTGAGAAAGAGGCGAAACTCAGCTGTTTACGTATCAAATGGGAGCAGCTTGACCGGATCGTTAACCGGAAAATAAGTTTCCTGTTGTTTGAATTTGCTGATAACTCCTCTAATAACGTCTGCACTAAAGACATCGAGGTTTCTTATTATTTCCCCAAGGCGTGGCTTGGTAGCACATTGAAGTTCTCCAAGGCAGATCTGGTGTTATATTACTAGTCAATATAACTACATGTAGTTAGTACTAATAACTTAATAATGAAGTCCTCGCGATCTGCATCCTACATGCCAATCCAAATTGATTTCGCCTAGCCCTCTTCCTCCCTACTACTTTAAACCAACCCGCGGGGTCCATGAAACTTGATCATTCTACATTTTGTGGCATTTCTGGCGAATGTGACAAGGTGCATAAGTTGAAATGATGTTGAAATAATATGCCTTGAATTCTCGGGCTTTGGTGGATTCACGATCAAACGAGGCATGAATTACAGAAAGTTTCTTCTACGTCAGGGCCACCTCTAAAAGAGCAAGTTGACAAGGGACTGGATATGACACTACATGGGAAAGCCTCATTGGCTTACATCACCCTGGCATGCATTGAGTATGAACCTGTTTCCGGGAAGCTATCTTTCGTCCCGTGTGGATATGTCATCCCAGAAGGCATTCACTCGTTCTCAATTCCTGGCTCTGCCATGTAAACTGGGAGGCTTCAGTGCTAGAGCCGAAAACCACCCTGATAAGCTGAATATAGAAGGTATTCGGCTAAGGGCCGCTATTACTAGATCTTTTTGCCCCACGACTCAACGGTCAATCCCGATAACCCGTCGTGGCACTAGCTCTCCATCATTAATACTTACTTTATGCATCTCACCTCTGACGTGTTTGTTATTCATTTGTCTTTACTTTGCCGTAGTACGTCACAACTTCACAGCTTTCAGAAAAGTCTTTTCCACCTCATTCCCGCAATCCTATAGTATTCTTTGCTCCATAATTTTCTCGAGACCTTCCGAGCGCAGAACTATCCCCAATACCAAGATCACGGGAGCAATAATTTATAAGCATATAGGTAGCCATGAAAAAACCCTCGGGTAGCTTAAACTGGCAATAATTCTCCGATATGAAGGGTAGGTCTACAGGAGATTGGATTGCTTGTGTCGAACCCCCGAGAGAACGCGTCCCAAGCCCCCAGGTAGCCTTGTCGCGGCAAGCCGGAAACACGGCCGTTAATGTACCTATATGTTGGCAGCTGTGTGGCCTTCATGATCGCAAGCAGGCTTATCAAGTTAAGCAGTAACCGTATGGCATCGTGCACCCACACATTAGACTCGAATCTGCCTATCTGTACGGCAGCCTGATCTTCAACAACCCGGGAGCTCAGATACTTGGCTTGACTGCTCGTCCTGACTCCGGCGGTGAAATTGATCTTTCCGAGCATATAAAGGTCTTCGTCATGGCTATTTCCAAGTTTACAAAGGTAAGGGAAGGAGCTCAAATCGCCGAAGATGGTGTTTGTGAGGCCTTGGTATAAAGGGGCGGTCTGCTTTTGTCGCTTGATGAGAAGCATAACGGTCCTTATCGCTGAGAACATGTAAGGTACGGGCGGTTGATTTGTGCTTCTAAGAGTTATGTGTTTATGGTCCATGTCGAATACGAAGCTAATTCCCGGCTAGTAGCTTTCGGCTGGTAGTAAATAAGGTGATTATCCCCGATGAGGGATACATTCTCGCCTAGAGATTTGCCGTTATCTTCTGCTTGAGAGCGGTACTAGTGGATATCATAAATGTCAATGCAAGGTATACTAGCATCCATGAGCGTCGAGTTCAGAGGCAGTCTATTGTTATTAACCCTGTCGCGGCGCCTATTTCCCGAAATAGACATGGCATTTGGGTGTAGGATGGATGGGTCAGCCCAAGCTGAGATTGCGAACCCAGATGCGCTCTGTTGTTGAAGGTACCTTGTTTCTTAAGTTCCCAGAGTCTGCTTCCAGTGGTAGAATTGACAGGAACAGACGTCTTAGAAACATGAAAGCCGACATTCAAATTTACCGAGCCCGTTAAAAGAGGGTTGACGAATGCTTGAGCAACGACACTGAGCATTGCGAGCGATATGGAAATGAATTGTAAGTTGATTGACTAGCCATTTGATCGCTGTGGCCTTTGCAGTAGTTTTTTTTCTCTCGAATTATTGAAGACAAAACCTTAGGCTCCACTGGTAGTTTTGCCCGACGAAGCAAATAATAGCCAATATTCTACACAAGAGTTGTTGACCACGAGTCTATAATAACTTGAATCACCATCAACGAGGTAAAGATCAGAGTTCTGATGTCACTAATGTGAAGCAGCAGCCTGCGGTCGACATGATGGGGCCTGGAATCATCTCCTGCCTGATACCTGTGTAGTCCAAGAGATACCCCAACGTAAGTGCGACACAAGCAATCCCGTGCAGGGATAAGATCACACATGGTTTAATGATAGGCGGGACCGTGATAATTTTGGATTCTTTTGTCTCGCGTCGGCGTGTTCGACCAAGTCTACTGTCGTGATGCGTCGGAACCGCTGTATCTTGACAAAGAGAGACTTTTCAGTATTCGGTAAATTGAGATTAATTTCACCTCGCGCAGAAATATTTTCTGTGACATGAGACGCAACTTAACAATCGTGTAGTCAACCCAATTAGCAATACGGTGCCCCTGAGCAGTTTGAGACAAGCAACTAGAACTTATTCCTAATATTTTATGTGAGAAAGACTCAATTCTTCTACATCCCAGGAAAATAGCACGCGTCTAATCTCATCAAGTATACTATTTTTTATTTGCCAAAGACTTATAACCTTAAACCAGTGCAGCTAATCCTACTAATAACGGCCATTGACCCTGATTTCGCCGTACGAGCAGCACTTAGATCACAAGATAATGTTGGGTGAAAAGGGTGATATTTGGAGGCTGTTGGTCACGATAGTTGCTTTTTAAGGTTCAACTTAAGGCACGTATTGAGGGTCTCAACAAGAGTTTTCAGGGGCTCTCGCAGGTTATAAAAAGGGTTAGTTTTCAGGGTTTTGAGAGTACTTAACAGAGGTCTCCGTCAATAACAAACATCATCAAATTCGTTCAATTGAGGCCTCCACAAGCCTGCCTAATAACTACATTTTCCGCTGTGTAAATTGATCTTGTATTTCCAATGGATGAAGAATAAACATGGAGAAGGCGAGGAGGGAAAGGAAGGGAAGGAAAAATGACTAGTATTATTCGAGACATTTTCTTCATACATTGACATATGGCCTAAACCATGCCTTTTAATTTCAGCATCAACTGCACCGATCTTCCTATTATCCCAAGACTACGATATATCTGTTCTCCCATTAATTCCTTCAACCGTATACGCTGAGCACCCAACCTGTGACTTATGGTGTTGGGCTAGGTTTATTAAAGTTAGTCATGTTAGCTTTCAAGTTCTTCCTACCCAGCTTTCGAAGAAGCAAGACAATTAATAACCGTCAGCGTCTACATTAGCTAGCCCGGCTCCAGCTTCTATCTTCCATTTCCAACGTAGAGTTGCCTGTCTGCATGTCACACGTATTAGTTCAAGCAAGGATTAGAAGCCCTTTATTACACAAGAAGATTACGAGAACTATGAGGAACACTAGGCACGAGCCGTTTCTTTCATGTATATAAGATATAAGATGGTCCCCCCTCGCCTCATGGCTCAGGGAAACCAAGGACCTTTGACATCCTACAAGATTATCATTGAATTGAGCCCTTTTGCTTCAAACCCTCTAACGAGCCCTTGTCACACTGCAACTGATCTCCATAATTTACATCATTATCATCCTCGCAAGTGCCACATACGTAGGGTTAATCAGAAACAGAGTTTTATCAACCCACTAGTTTGCGGACCGACGTAAAAACTACAGATATTTGCGATTATAGAACCTATTTGGTCTGGTTAGTAACCTTGGTCTTTCCAACATCTAACATTGAGATAACCTAGTTCGATTCATCGTTATTTACCTCTTTTCCCGTCAATCTGTTGGTGGTCCAGCGTCCGTTAACATTAAACCCACTTAAGGCCGTTTCACAAGAGAGCATGCTTGTCTAATTTGTTCCATACAACGATGTCCCCGAATTGGTAGACGGGGTGCAGGTTATTTCCAACTTATATTGCGGCCTGAAATCCCTTCAACGGGATGCCAGCGATACGGAGTGCCAGGCATGGGCTATGAAGGCTACTTGGGTTTCTTCACACAGCAGCTTAGGTTAGTAGGGTTAAGATACCTAGAAAGAGCCTCTGAATCTTGTCAAAAGCGCAAAGATGCTCGAAATTTATGTCATGGTATAGGTCTGCACATCTATCCATGTGATGTTTGTCTCACTCTTTCTGTGCATGAGGAAGTGGGGATCGAGAGGTTAGCTGGCCATGAGCGCCCTTTCTCGTCAGCCTTTACCCTTTTGCTGGGCCCTAACGGGACCGTAAGTCTCGGGATTCCTATGAGTATGGTTTTGCTGTCCGAAGGTCTTCACTTCCGAGTCAATATGATTGACTTTGAGAAGAGCATTGCCTTTACTAGAGAAGTCCTGCCCCAAGCGTGAAGCACCACAGGCCAAAGATAACGCAGGGATTAAAACTACGTAGCACGGTAGCTCCCACTATAGCATCCAGTGTGCTGTGCGAAGTGCCATCTAGGACGAGGACTGCGACATTGTGTGTCATCATGCAGTCGATTTTGCTCCTCGTCATGGGAGTAGCCTCTGGCATACCAGATTGGCTGGAACACTTCGGCTTCCTCGCCACCATTGTTCGATTGTTCGATTGTATCCTTCTATTAACCTTTTATACCACTATAGTAGGTTAAAATTAAGGTCAACCGTATCAAACGCTATGTTAAGACGCGACGCCTGTTAGTTAGCAAGCTTCTCAGACCATCTTGGAGAGCTGTGGTGCCAAGGAGAATGCAAGTGCGAATATGTTTAGATGAGCAGCAGCCTTCCCAAGTCTAACATCTAGACTGTTATACGCTGTTTTATCGTTAGTCTCATCAACGTTTGCTCCATATCTTTCTAAATTATTGATAGTGTTTTGTTATCGAGCATCTTGACCAAGCTAAAAATCCTGAGCAGAGCAGGAATGAACCCTCCCTTCGAGGCTTTCGGGATGGACGTGCTTTCCTAGGCACGGGCGCGGCTAGAGTCTGGTCGACTGTGGTCAATTGTCCTAGCCCCATTAGGTCAAGTATAAGCGCGCTAGATCATTCTTCTGTAAATCCTACCGGTCGGGACCTTCCAAACGCCAAGGTGGTCAGTTATTACTTGGCAGGTAGCCCCTCCGCAGCTATGCGAGTATAGTGTTGGTTGGAGAATAGTGGGAAGCTTATTGTTGTCTAGCCTCGAAGATTCCACCCTCGCTAAATTAATCTTCGTAGGTTTATAACACTCGCCTGAAATTCAGGTCTGAACAGCTCTCTATTTAAGCTGCTAAGCTAGGAATCACGAATCCTCCCTCATTACCCAGTCAATACCAAGCAGCTTACCCTGGCCGATAAATTTAATGCCACGCAGATATTAACCCCTTAGCTTCGGCTCAGTCACCGGGTTCCTCGGCCGAAGCATCTAAGACTAAGTACAAGTATATTACGTTATAGCACTTTAAAGACACGTTATAGGAGAGACATATTATGCCTTAATATTTAGCTTTATTTAAGGTTAAAATTTTTAATGAGTTATTAGCGCTAGTTGCCACATTTATATATAATACATGGATAACCCCTAGAGGAGTTAACATCGTCGCATATTCTATCGAAATCGGCAGGGACAAGCCCGCTAAGGTAGCAGGAGATAGTGATTTTGGTCACCAAGGTCCTTAACGCGTAAAGGAAGGGACCGTTGGTTATATACGGACAGTTTCTCGACTCCTTAATAAAGAGGCCGTGGATTAAGATATTGGACGCCAAGTGAAAGGCCCAGCTTGCCTAAGCTGTAATGTTCTTGATAATCTCAGCTACCAGGATGCCCGCGTAGGCAGCCGAATATAGCCGAGCGTTTTGACCATAGGGAAGGAGTTGGGCTTTGATGCGCGGTAGTGCATTAACATCGTTTGAGCCAAGGCCGCTAGCAACTGGACACGATGGCCAGTTATGGGAGATTTGGGTAATTCGCGATAGCGTTAAACGTAGGGGACTAGTTAGCCGCGTTGTTGTTCCAGGTAATAGAGGGATAGAGGTAGAGCGGAAATATAATATGAAGATCAAGTCTCATTTTAGCATAGCATTGCTTCTATTAAGAACATGCAACAACAAGGTCCTTCTATCCCGTATGTTGATGCAACCACGCTGATGAGGAGTAGTGGAGGCGATACATGATTAGCATCGAATCCCATCCGGGGCTTCTAGCAACAGAGAGCAAGAGGCCTATTATGCCTGGACTCACTACCTCTTTGCCGACCCTGTTCGATGCTGTTGCATTCGTTCGCAGCGGTGGGTTTCTCAGGGTCGACTACAGCTGGTCGAGCCGAACTAGCGTCTGGTACGACGCCACACCTTAGTCGAGTTTATCATGCGCGATAGTCGTATAGAAGCAGATATACGAAGAGTACTTCTTATTTTAGCGTTACCGGATGTACAAGCTTTTAATGCGGGCGTTTTCCCTGGGTTGCTACTGCGCAAATAGCATCTGCGCTCCACATCACTTCACTATATTCGAGACAAACTTTAAGACCTGTAAGAAGCTTAATACATCACGGAAACTCGACTTCGGAAATCCTTCACTCATCAGGCGGCTGACTTCGATAACTACATAACACGGCATGGTAGTTGAGATGTTCTCGGTGATTAGTAACGCTTTCATGTACCATGTGAGATGTTTTCACATAATTAATTCTAGCCGGCTGTGGGAAACTCGCCAACCAACGGGGAACAATAACATATTCCAACTGACCCAGCACGAGTCGGGAGAGTGCTTCGGTCTGCAAAGGGGTCGACGAGGTCGCGTGGGCAGTTGTTGTGTGATAGAGAATGAGTCGATGGTCTAAGGTCCATTTATTGTCCTGTCATCCTCGTTGAACTGATATAAGATACTTCACTGGAAAGACATGTAACATAGTGGGATATTTACAAAAGTCTTCCAATATATACATGAAAAAAGCCACAAATGTGCAACATTGCAACACAATTTCATACCCCTGCAGTGATTTTTGCTATGCAGGAATCAGCCGGGCCCAACAGACTATTGGCAGGAAGACCACCATTGCCCGCCATAGGTGCACTTGTAAGGAGGCTGGCATTGAGTAGATCCAGTGTAGCCTTCGCCACCGCACTGACCCCATTGAGGGACGAGTGTTCCTGTGGGAGGAGGAGTGGAAGATGACGTTGTCGTGGTGGTACCGCCGGGTGGGAGAGTGGTAGTAGGGCCGTTCGAAATGTCGGAAACGATTTCGCCAAGGAACGCGCTATTAGAGTACAGTTGAGACATATCCCACATCATGGCACCACCAAAACTGCTGTACTTTTGAGACCAGTTGATAGCAGCCTTGAGTTTGGAGCCGCTCGTGTAACCGCCGCCTGCGCCGGGAGCGGCTGGGACGCCAATGAGAAGCTTAACTTTCTTATTGGGGCTGGTAGTCTTGGCCCAGTTATCCCAAACGTCAAAATTGAATGCATTTTGAGTTGTTGAGCCCTCCTGGAAGTTAGACACGCCGCACCAGTTATTATAAAACTGAATCATGATGAAGTCAAACGACACAGCGTTAAGGGCTGCGCCAACAGCGGCATCCGGGAAGACACATTGAGGAGCGGCAGAGAGGTAGAATTTTTTGCCTCCTGCTGCATCCATGAGACTGCGAAGCTTCTGGCCAAAGGCAGGCAAATTATTCGTGCTAGCTTCGAAGTCGAAGTCAAAGCCATCGACAACGGCTGATCCGAACGGCCTATCAATAGTCTTGCCCGAGGGTACGGGGCCAAACATATCCCAAACATTCTGAGCGGCTGCTTGGGCATCACTCACGCTGCTCCATCCACCTTGGCCATAGGTCGCGCCGCCAAGAGAAAGAATAATTGTCTTGCCGTTGGTCACCTGGCAAGACTTGATATCCGCTCTTGAAAATGTAAGCCTACGAATACACGGAGCGGGAGCATCTGTATGACTTACTCAATCTGGGGACAGCTGAGGAGATTGGAATTGCTGGGGAAGGCGGTACAATTATCACCAGCGTTGGCGAAATTGGTGATGGGAGGACTGATACCATTCATAAAGGCAACGGGAATAATCTGTAGATGTTAGTCTGTATATAAATTTGTTCCCAATCGCAACAATCTCACGTCAATTTCGGCGTCTGGTGAGACCACAGTCAGCTTTCGCCTTTATGTAAGCCAGCTCTGGGCTGATATCCCTCACTAGAGCAGTAATAACTTAGACGCTGTTGGGCAAGCGGACCACTGCCTTGATTGTACGAATTTTGGCCTGCTTAGAGGTTAGGCGTAGCAAGGTAAAAGTTAATTGGGAGTCGAGACACTCGCCCCAATAAACGGCCACATTTTTTCCTGATCCAGAGTTGAAACCAGCGAGGGTCGCCGGCAATATGGCCAGTATACTGGCTGTCGACCACAACGTGAGGACGGGAAACGCCATTATCGAGGTTTACTTTCGTTTTGAGCAATACAGAACAGTTGAAGAGTAGAACAATGTATTGAAGCGGTCTAATACCACTAAGTGATGGAATAAAGAAGCGAAGTGAAGATTGACTCGTTGACCGCTCCCAATCTCATAGATAAATACTAGAGAGACGCACCTATATATCTTTGCAGGGGGATCGCTAGAGCCTTGCGAGTGACCAAGATGGCGCATCTCCCATCATCGATTAGAAGCCACTTATCCACTTTGGGAATCACAATGGTCTGAGAAGGCGTATGTGACGTTGGACGCTTCCATGAGAATATCCATCTGGTCGCATAACCCATGTGATGTTGCCACGTGGGGAGTGCTGTTGGTTGGGGTCAGCAATGTTACCTGCTACCTCCCTGTGACTATGCGATGGACGCCATCCGTAGGATTGTGCATTTGGGGGTAACTACCATGTTTTGGATGGAATGTGTGCCCATCAAGTTACCTGGCCGTTGACGCGACAAACTAGGCTTTGCCGGGGCGCCAATCCTTGGTCCATGCCATTGTAACTAGTACATGCCTACGCCACAAGAGTCTTGACGAGATGAAACGGTTATGAGTGGACCAGTCTAACGAGTCTGGTGCTTGGTCAGGTACCAACTTGAATGCTGGCGAAACGTTCAATGTTCTCGTGGTACAAGCAGCGGGGTCTGCTGGTGTCTGCAACAATGGTCAACTCTGACAGCTCATCATCAATCAATGAAATCTATGTGGTACCTACCAGAAGAGCCTAGAAAGAGGCAGCATGAGCCCACAGGACTAACTGCTGCCGAAAAAGAGGCGCCACAGGGCTGGTCACTGTGTATTTCATTCTGGGAATGACCAGCCACGCGACGGCGCGAGCATGACTCTGTAACCTGCTGCACCCCTCACTGATTGCGTACGTAGGAATTCCATAATTTAAAAATAACTCGAGACTTGGCTGGGTATTTAGCATAAAATCTACGTGGGGCGGGAGTTAGAAAAGAATAAGCGCCGTGACTTACCTGCGGCGCCGTGTTGTTGGAAACATCCGCACTACTCCGTGGTTAGATGCCGTCCCTGCGCCCGCGCCACGCTGTAATTAAATGACATGCAGCTTGTCCTCCTCGTGCCGCGAGACTGGCATAATGGACCGAGGGAAAGGACTCAAGAGAGGGCGCCATCCTCTCACATGTGCCTTGCTTGTCCTGCATCGTGGCTTGCACTAACGCTCAAGCAAGGTCGGGCCGCGAGCCACATGACCTAGGTGAGCATTTCCACCGGCAGGAGTCAGTCTGCTTTCAGAAATTGTGAGGTTAGCATTGTACAACGAGGTCGCACGAATTCCCATTATCCCTACGCGTCAATATAGAACACATCCATCTCCGAGTCGCAAGGTCAGCAGGTTTCTTGAGGTATAAATGTTGCCGATAATCTAGAACATGCTTGGTCCCTTGATTTGTGGAACTTGGACAACTACCCCTTCTCAGGCACCACGTTGACCCTTCCATCCTGTCTCTTGTGCATAACATACTCCTACCTGCCCCCCTGCGAGTTGTCCAACAGGCTATTATGAGACTGATTTCAACACCCATGGCGCCAGATAATGGTTCAATGTTGTCTAATGCCAATGTAACTGCCGCCCACAAACTCCTTTACGTCCTCGGGCGGAAATTTATTACCCCAAATCAAACGCCAAATTCCCCAACACTACCGGGTGCGCTGTGGTCTGTTTCATTCGGACTCGACATACCCTCACTTCTCACGGTAATGGTGGGGACGGGCGTAACACATGGCTTCTACCGAGTACGCGTTAAAAGTACCAGGCTCATTCGTGAATAAGCCCTATCTAATGGTCCCACCACTCCTTTCTAGAGCCACCTGCTCACTTGGGAAGGTTGATGGGACGAGGTTCTCCTAATTCGGCTTTGGATCTTTCTCCTATTGCCCTGTTAGTAACGTTACTTCTTGTCTTTGAAACTTGACACGTTTCGACGCTTAATCTCTTCCCTTACCGAGAATAAATTCCCGCATGCTGTAACAGTACCAACAACCTGTATAGAAGACAAGGTGTGTCTCTCGGGACTAATATAGTCACCGTTGCTATTACCCGGTCCAGTTTTGCAATTGGTGTTTCTAGTTCTAAAGGGTAATGTTTATTGCCAGACCAGGGAACAATTTGGGTCGAGTCCCAACTTGTAAAGCTTCATTTATCCTGGGCGCATGGTGCCTGGAGTTATTCCAGCATGGAAAGCGTGCCTTTTACAGGTGTAAGATAAATGTCCCAATCTTTGCAAGTCATTACATAAAAATAATCTTTACCGAGCTGTAAAAGTAATAAAATTATCAAGTCATCACGCTTCTGCTTCACTTGGACTTTGTCTCAAAGACTTTAGCTGTGTAGAGAATTAAGATTTTGTATTGGGCGAACGAGCACTTACCGTGAAGCCTACAAATCGAGATAAAAGTTATAAAATTTGCATGTCTCTTTGGTTGCATAATTTTCAAGGTGGATGTAGGGGTGAGGGCGATGAAGTCCTTGACACGGTTCCTCGGGAGACGAACTTTTGCCCGGCTGGCAACGCCATTCACCCGGGTAACTTACCACCAGGCATATAACCGACTCCATGGATACCTCGGAATTTGCCGTTTGCGCTATCCAAATCGAGTACAAGTGTCGCGTTGTGATGCTTATCCTCGCAATTGCATAGGGACTACTAGAAGGAGTTTGCCGCCGGTCACATCACGCGCATTAAAAGCTAGGCGCAGATCTATCAGATGTACATACTGAGAAGCAAGCTTTTGGCGTGATTCCTTCTCCGCTCGAGGTTGGTAAACAAAATTTCATTGCCCTGTATTTAGACGTGACCAAACAAACAAGTGCAAGGTACCCGGATCTGCAGGTTGTATTGAATGGAGTTTCAAGAAAGAAAAGAAAAGAAGAGAAGAGAAGAGAAGATAGCTCTTCACAGCTGAATTGATCCAATATTTCTCCCCACAAGCCAGCACGAGGCAGCTCGCGGGTAGATCACCCTAAGTCCGCATGTTCTTGAAATTCCTCGTGATATCCGCAATAGCAGTCTCGACTGGCAATCTCTCCATTGAGCTTGCGCCATAGAAGCCATGAATTCCTGTCGTACGGCCCAAAATATACTGCGCATCGTCTGGGCTAGCAATTGGTCCTCCATGACACAATACTATAACATCGGGGTCAATGGCAACAGCCGCATCACGAATCTCCTGAATCAGAGTTACGCATTCATCCATAGTCTTCCCTGAGGTGGCACCGATTGAGCCACTCGTTGTCAAGCCCATGTGGGCGACCAATACGTCGGCTCCAGCTCGAGTCATTTTTTCACTTTCCTGCGCGTTGAAGACGTAAGGAGTCGTAAGCAGGCCCATTTTGTGAGCCATGGCAATCATGTCAACTTCTAGGTCGTAAGACATTCCCGTTTCCTCCAGATTGGCGCGAAACTGGCCGTCGATGAGTCCCACAGTAGGAAAATTCTGGACACCTGAAAAGCCCATGTCGTGTAACTGTTTCAAAAAGAAGGGCATATTCCTCAACGGGTCTGTACCACAAACACCGGCGATGACGGGAGTAGATTTGACAATTGGCAGCACTTCATTGGCCTAGTTTTTATTCTGTTAGAAATGCACAGTCTCCTGGAGCCTCGAGACTTGAGTCTTACCATGTCCAGGACGACGTCATTTGCATTTCCGTAGGGCATGAGGCCGGCTAAAGATCCTCGGCCTGCCATTCTGAAACGACCGCTATTGTATATAATAATCAAGTCGCCACCTCCTTCTTCGATGAACTTTGCTGAAAGTCCGATGCCTGCTCCAGCGCCTACTATGGGCTTGCCTTGCTGTATTTGTGACCGAAGACTGGCCAGGATCTCCCTTCTGCTTGTGGGTGGCGGCATTTTGAAGATGGGGGATCACTCTCGACTAACTGGCTTGGTCAATTTGTGTGAAATGTCTCCGTTATTTCAGTAGCATGATTGGGTTTAATGAAGATATAAAAAGTTGAAGCTCCAAATGAGTCAGAGACTCTTGAGATGACTCCAGCTTGCCTTTCTCTACACAGAACTCGTGGGCAACTGTGGGAACCTAAAGACCGGATGCACCGGTCCCCCGCATATTGTGGGGCAGTTGTGATGAGTTCGAAGCTCTTTGCCACAATGAAGGTGAAGCCTACATCGACGCCTTCAACTAACAGGATGACAGCGACTGTTGCCATTATCGGGACTTGTGACACCAAGTTGGCCGAGTTTCTATTTCTTCGTGACGAGATTAATAAATACCCCAAGGTGAAGACTCTCCTTATTGACGTCGGTCGCAAGCCTGTCGCCAACGATGCAGTCGACGTCTCGGTATCAGACTTGCTGTTCAAGCACATCCCAGAGGCCGAAGCCACTCACCTTTCACGCGGAAAATTTATTGAAATGGTGTCCGAGTGCACAACCAAGCTGATACAAGACATGTTCACTAATGGCTCTATTGATGGCGTCATCTCGGCAGGAGGGTCTGGCGGCACGGCCTTGGCTTCGGCCGTGATGCGGCGTGCGGTCCCTATCGGATTCCCCAAGCTCATCGTGTCAACAATTGCCAGTGGCGATACAGGTTTTATTATCGGCGAGACGGATATTAGCTTGATGTATTCTGTCGTCGATATTGCTGGTCTCAATCAAGTACTCCGGGACATTTTGGCCAACGCCGCAGCCGCCATAGCTGGAGCCGCGTCTTCGTACTCGATCCGAAGAGAGCACCGACCAAGGGAATCGCCCGCCAAGAAGCGAGTCGCCATAACCATGTTTGGAGTGACAACGCCTGGAGTAGATTCCATAAGAAGTTTCTTGGAATCCCGATATCCCATCGAAACGTACGTCTTTCACGCCACGGGTCACGGAGGGATGGCCATGGAGCGCCTTATTCGCAATCGCCAAATAGATGCTGTAATCGATCTGACAACTACTGAGATCTGCGATCTAATAATGGGGGGGCAAATGTCTGCTGGAGACGAGAGACTTGATGCCGCGATAGAAGCGGGAATACCCAACATCATATCACTCGGCGCTTTGGACATGGCCAACTTCGGTCCCAAAGCCTCAGTCCCGGCCAAATACCAAGATCGGCCGCAGGTAGAGCATAACCCCCTAGTAACACTGGTCCGTTCATCCGAGAGCGACTGCAAGTCCATTGCAGAGTTTATTTGCGACAAGTTGAAAAGATTAAAAACAACCGCCTTGACTCAAGTTTGGATTCCCAAAGGTGGTGTGAGCATGCTCTCAGTTCCTGGCGGCCCCTTCTACGATGAAGCTGCGGACGCTGCCCTCTTTGACACCCTCAAGGCTAATTTAGCACACACGGGAATCAAGGTTATAGAAGATCCAGGACATGTGAATAATTTGCAATTCGCCATACATGTTGCAGAGGCTCTAGTAGAGGTGATGCAACTATCTCATTAAAATCAGCCCTATGCTTCGATTGTCTTAGTAGTCATGAATACACATCAAAGCTAAGGGAAGCTAGAATGTATAATAATACCTCTTTTTTAGCAATGTAGGTTAGGCGTTCACCTAGTCTTGTGGCCGGAGCCTTTTACAATCAAGCGTCTGGTCCTGCCACCACGGACACACAAATATACACAGGGATTCGCAACAAGCCATCTGCACCCTGCTTCGGCGCATTCCTAATTCAACGGCTTCAATCAATTAAGCAAGCGAATAAGCTAATTCGCAATCTTGTTTCCTCCTGTATCTTAATGGCCCACCCCGGAAATATCTGTCCCTCATCTTGTCTAATATGGCTTTTATCAATTCCCATTTGACCCTGTTTGTTCCTGTGTACCCTTACGACAAGCTAACCTCATACATGTCTGCAAAGACCCGCAAGTTGAGTTTATTGCCGGATGACCCGCATGGACTTTGGCCGCGAAAAGTCCACATCTTCCCCATTCAGGGCTCTTACCTTGGTCAACTCCCAGTTCTGAATAAATCCGGTAAACGTTGCGAGGCGTTTATGCGAGAGATTATTAGAGTCCGATAGTATGACTGCGGTTCCTGGCGCGGCTTCAACCTGGACATCATGCGCGTAGATCCAGGGAGGCAGTGAGTCACTCGACTGCTGCTCCGGAGGCAAACAATACCTTGCGCTAGTTATCAGGCTGGTGATGCAACCGACCGGGGTTGTATTCTTCACCACGCGCATCGAGTGTGGCCGCGAGAAGTTGAGGTACTTCCCGCTGGCTGCCTTGGCTGACTTGAGCCTGTTGTTCTCGACCGTCCCGACAAAAGTTGCGATCCTCTTATACGAAAGATTGTCAAAGTCTGATAGCTGCACTGCCGTACCTGGCGCAGCATCCACGTAGACCTCATGCTCGTATATCCACCGAGGCAGAGAATACCCAGACGTGTTGCCGGCAGACAAGCAATACCGCGCGCTTGTCTGCAAGCTAACAATGCATCCTTGGGGCTTCTCGGCGGACAAAAATCGCGCCTCCGGGTAGATAGACTTGATCCAGTCAGCGTATTTTGACACACGCGCGCCAGTCGATTTGGTTGCGTGGCCACCATTGGTTGTCGCGATAATGACTGGCTTGCCATCGCGGATCTGCCACCAAGCAGAACCACTGTCGCCTGGGGCCGTTCGCGCCCAGAATGGTGATGGCCCTGCGGGTTTATAACTCGCACCGATTCCATGTTCAAGTTCGAAAATGCTGTCGATACGGCTGCGCCCGTACAGCCGCCGCTCGGCCCGCGG